CATAGTCGTCTTCAGTCTCACTTTTGTGGTTGTCCGTCTTGTCTGCCCTGCTCTGGTGGTCTTCCTTCCTGCTCTGGTGGTCTTCTGCTCCATCTGCTCCGCCGTGGAGGTCTTCTGCCCCATCTGCTCCGCCCTGGTGGGCTTCTGCTCCACTAGTACTGCCGTCTCCATCCTGGCTCCCTGCTCTGCCGGTCCTGCCTCAGTCTTAAGGTCCTACACTTCTACATGAACCCGGCCCTCCATCCCTCTCCCTGATCCGCCTCCACTCCACCGCCCTCCTGGATTATATACCGTTTGGAGCATCTGGAAGCCACTCCTTGGGGGGGAGGGCGGGGGGGTGCTCTGTAACGAATATGGTCCGTGGCCTTCCGTTCGATTGCCACCAGAGGTTGCTCTCCCATTATACTGACTCTCACCACACAGACTGTTACACATCACCCTGGACTGCATTTCCCATCATCCATTGCACTGATTGCACACAGCTGTAACCAATCACATGCTCACCTGAAAGCTATTACACACACTATATAACACCCACACAGATCCTGCTCAAGTCACAGAGTATTTTCTGCATTTATCGCTCTCCAAGTGATAGCACTTTATGGAGCCATTTCCCTGTCTTAGTTTCTAGTTCCTAGTCTCAGTTCCTAGTTCTAGTCTTAGTCTAGTCTCGTTGTGTTTCCTGATTTCCTGGTTTCTGATTCTTGGCCACGTATCTTGGATTTACCTTTTGCCTTGCTGTTTCGGACTGTGTTTGCCCCTCGTTTGGACTATTGCTCACGTTTACGGATTACCTCTCTTGTCAAGCCCTCTGGATAACGTTCGCTGTCATCGGACTCAAGCCCGTTTTGGATTGCTCTTTTGTCTTGCCTGTGCCATACCTGTTTGCTGTTGTTCGACCCTGCCTGTGTTTTTTGACCATGTTTATTAATAAAAGCTTGCATATGGATCCGCACACCTCTCGTCTCGTCGGCTCCGTAACACTTAAGAATATATGCTATAGTATTTACTAGTGTTTCTTTATGTGGTATCATGGAGATTACTGAACAACACAGCTGAAAGTATGGGGAAATGATGTAATGAGTTTCTGCTAAGATTTGGTTTAGAAATTTCCATATGAAAATTGACCTGACCAAAAAGTTTTGCATACGGTCATCTCAGCAGCAAGTCAGAGCATTGTACCGTCTAGGTGCAATACAGTGGAAAACTAGATTACCTGTTTCCAGCTGCTCCCAGTATATAACATGTAAATATAACATCATAATACACAACAGATGTATATTTACTGTATACATGATGTGTTTTGATAGCTGTAGTGCTGCTGTTTGGGCTTCCGTATGTGGTTTGAGGCAAGTAGAATAAAATGTAATACAACATTTTTCTTAAAGGTGGGGTAAGCGCAGCAGCAGTTTTCTGTCGGGGATTTGTCATGTCGTGCCGCGCCACATCCAGTGTAGACCATAGATATGTATATATATATCTATGGTCTCGACAGCATAACTGATTATGAGTTCTATAGTATTTTGTCGCGCCGCGCCACTCGCGTCGGGTGTAAACACGCTGTAACATCGGTTTTGCTTTGTTTCACAGAACTAATCTTTGCTCGGGTTGCGTACGTATGAGTGGGGCGGAGCTTTCAAAATAGGGGTGAGACCCTTTTGGGGTAGGGGCGTGTTTGTTTTGGTGATTTCAAATGTCAACATTGGCTACCAGAAATCACTTACCCCACATTTAACTACTGTTATATGTAACCCTTGTTATATGTAGTTATTGTATAGTTATTGTTATAAGTGTAACATCCGCGGGCTGTAATTTAAAGTGATGCCTTGTTGCCCTCTTGTTCCGTGTACACTGTAAAATTGAATTAGTCAGGCTTACTTAAAAAAAGCATGCAAACCGATTGATTTAAAAAAACAACTAAGTAAAGTGAAATAAGAATAGTATGTTGTAATGACAAATGCTTAGTTAGTATAGTTCACTTATACAAGATTTCTAGTAACTAAAGAGAACTGTAGGGAGTACTTGATAATTTACTTTAGGTTTACTCTTGAGTGATGTCCTTCAGGTGGGCCAGAACCAGTTTTTCAAAAGACTTCATGACCACAGACGTTAGAGCCACAGGTCTGTAGTCATTAAGTTCCGTAAATTTGGGTTTCTTTGGGACGGGGATGATGGTGGAGCGTTTGAAGCATGAAGGGACTTCGCACAGCTCCAGTGATCTGTTGAAGATCTGTGTGAAGATGGGGGCAGAATTTAGCTGCTCAGAATTACTAACTCCCAGAGTGTATTGCGGCATGAATAAATTACGCAATTGCTTTGTTTTACTGTTGTTGTTTTTTGTTTTTTTTTCGTTTTATTTGCTCTCTTGTGTCAGTAGTAGCACAACAAAAAGAGCAAATAAAATGGTTATTGTTACAGTTAATAAAATGTATTTGTTACCATTGTTGTGTTTGGTGTGCTGAATGTTGAAGTCTGTGTGTGACTATGTGGACCATGTGAGCATGGTCGATTGCAAAATATTGCCACAAATATTAAATGATTATATCAACCGAAATAAAAGCTTCACAAGGTGTTTATGGAAAACAATAAAATTGTAAAAGATTGTAAATCAACATGAAAAATATGCTAGTTAATGACTTAATTAAAACATCACTAAAAGGTTAAATAAATATATAATGAATATAGGCTAATATAGTGCAAATATTTAGCGACATGCTCTTCTCCAGAGTTCATTCATTTTTCTAGCAAAGTAACAAGCTGTGGACACTCAATGACTTGCTTGAGGTAAAGGTAATGCTGCTTCGTGACATGTTGTTTACAAGCTGTTTTTATTGGCATTTTTCTGCGGTTGCAAAACTGATTGAGAGATTACGTGAGACATGAGATATAAATTTGTGTTTATTTCGCATTATAGTAGAAAGAAGAAAAGAGAAAGGGACGTCACTCGCTCCTCGCTCTGCGCGCTGCAGCTTGTAGGCCGAAGACGTTTGTTAACTGATGTTAAATAGATGTTTAGAAAATGTCTTGAAGATGTTTATGATTTAGAATGCATGTAAATCTGCTTTTTCTAAGACGTTTATCAGATGTTTCCCAGATCAAGCGCTCTGTTTTATGATCTTACTTAAATTAGGTTTTTGGTTTTAATGCCAAAAATAATGTAAAATTATGGTATTTGGGAAAGGTTTATGGAGCCAGAAATATGACAAAACAATTTGAATGTGAACTGTGTAAATATGAATTAAAGTGTGATTTAACAAAACTGAATATTATGTGGCATTTTTTAGTTTAAAATTTTTATTTTTGAATGGTTTAGTTTAATTTCTTTGAATAATTTAATTATGTTTGTGCACACATACCAGGCATAGGTCAAAACATTGACAAATTTGGCTGAATTGTAAAAGCCAGAGGGGGTACTAAATAAAGAGCCGGTTCTTTTTGCTGAGCTGAGCCAAATGATCCGGATCCCTGAAAAAGAGCCGGAATTCCCATCACTAGAATCCTCCGAGAGCAGCGTTTCCAGCTTTCAGACGCAGCCGGTGAGCTCAAGAGATGTTTCCCAATTACTGGCCGTTTTTAACTATCCAATCAGAAAAGCACGGAGGCCATGTGTTATTATTTTCTTTCTACTTTCTCCAGTTTCCAGCTATTGTTTATATCTAGATCAGGAGAGACCATGAGAGATCAAGAAATAATAATAATAACGCTGCATACGGTTAGGACTTTCGTAAACAGGGAGCCGATGTGTTTTTCACAGACGTACACATATGGAAACAAAGGCGCCTTGAAGCTGTGCATCTTCCGAAGCTGAGCCAACTGAAATTAAATTTAGATTAAAATTAAAATGGATTAAATTGAGAATTTCTTTAGATATAATTTAACACTATTTATAGAGTATATAAACTGTGTATCTGACCAATAAACTGTGAAGAAGAAGGAGATGTGAATCAAACCTGTGTGTGTCTCGTTCTTACTGGAAGAATTTTCATGGGTTTTAAAAAATAATACAATGTCACAAATATATTTGTAAACATATTTATTTAATATTAAATGTGATCTATTCAGTGATCAACTGGAATTTCACAACCAAACATGTCTGTTGCAGCAACAATTGCAGAGTTAGATGAGTTTTCTGAGGAGCTTTTCAGCAAAATCTTTCAGTCTTTAAATCTTCTGAGGAACAGAGCTCAGTTTAACTGTTCAGAACAAACAAGGGACTCATGAACAACCATCACAAAACAAACAAACAGTCATGGATCATCCAGGTGACACACACAGTACTAAGAACCAAGGGTTCCCAAACTTTTGAATGGGGTTATTTTATTAATTTCAGCTATTTATTTATTTATTTTTTGTGGACTAAATGTAAACCTTTTATGTAAAATATCTTACTCAGGACAGTACTAAATAAAAACTAACATGCATTTTGTATGATCTCTCTTATTTTGTTAAAATTATTCACATTTTCACAGATTCTGCAAGGGATTCCCAAACTTTTGCATGCCACTGTATTTGAAGTCCAAAAAAAAAGTGGATTGTAAATTGTGACTTTATATTTCTGCATATTTGACATAAAAACATGTTGAAGCATGATGTATGTGCAGATCATTCATACACTTTCATGAGTAAAGATTTTGCATTGAAATGATCAGTGAACGAATAAAAAACATCAAAATATATCTGTGAATATGTCGTATATGATAATTAACAGACATTTGTAGCATCATCAGTTAAAATGGACTATTACAACATTTAGAAAGCCTTCTGCAAAACAATTTTATGTAATGATTAGATGAATCAAGATTAGAAAATTACCATGTATTTATATTATGATTTCTGTAATAATCATTCATGTTCATTAAAGGTACCTTCTTGCTCTGTTGATCACTGTATTTAATGTTATATTTAAAGGATTCAGTACAGTATGGAAAATATTCCTGAAAGTTGCATGCAAACATCCATAATAGCTTGACATGAAGATAAATCTGGCTGTAATCTGTTTTTTACTCTAATATTGTATTAATCTCTATTTCCTCTGGGTGCTGTGAGTTCTTCCTCCCTGCAAAATAATTCAACAGAAAAGCATTAACTGAGCTCTCATGAGTGCAGATCTTTCCAGATCAATGTGAATCATCTCAAAAACTCACCAGCTCTTCTTGCACAGATGATCTGAAGAAGAATCACAGTAGGAGCAGCAAACGCTGCAAACTCAACAATAATCACAATCACTGCAGGACAGATGAGAGAAAGGAAGAACATAAACTGTAAATGACTGAAGTCAAGGCTATTCAACTATTGTTTTTGTTTGTTTAGTTTATTTATATAGCACAATACAACAACAGTCGTTGACCATTGTGCTGTACAAAAAAAATGTAAAATAAAAATAATAAATCATAATAAAACTACACACAATGACATAGTACATACAGAGGGAAAACAAGCTCAGGACAACTTAAATATTATAAGCCTTTTCTAAAAGTTGGGTTTTTAAGTTTTGCTTTAAACAGAGATTCTGTAGTGATTATCCTAATAGATAAAGGTAGGCTGTTCCATTATTTGGGGCCAGCTATGGAAAAAGCCCGGACTCCCTTTCTTTTTAACTGTGACCTGGGAACCTTTAACAGTTTCTGATTTGATGACCTTAAATATCTAGCAGTCACAAGTTTAGCCCATTTAAAACCTAAAACTAAAACATATCGGCAGTCACTGCCAAGTAAAGCCTGAGTTATATTTTCCGCGTGAGCAATCCGGACGCGTACACAGTAGTGTTGGGTCGTTCTTGAACGATTCGTTCATTTTAATGTGACTCGGGAAGAACGAGTCGTCTCGGGGAGTGATTCGTTTAGTCGCGCATGCGTAACATCTTGTAGGTTCTGTACTGGAATTAGTCAAGTAGTTCACCATAGGTTAAACTTATGGGGCTGTCACGTGATGAACGAACAACTCGGAAAACCCGAAGACTCGAGAGATGAACTAATCAATTCTCTTTCCGGCTCAGACTGCATTGGTTAAGTTTATGGGGCTGTCACGTGATGAACGAACAACTCGGAAAACCCGAAGACTCGAGAGATGAACTAATCAATTCTCTTTCCGGCTCAGACTGCATTGGTTAAGTTTATGGGGCTGTCACGTGATGAACGAACGACTCAAACCCGAAGACTTGTCAGATAAGAGGTGGTGAGCTAATCATAGACTGAAGACCCAGGTAAACAATGAATTAATCTTTTCTGTTTCTTATAGCAGTTTTGTATTGTTTGTAGTGTGATCAACGTCTGCGTAAGTAGTAGACGTGTTATGGAAGTAACACGTAACATTTTAATTATATTTTGCTAAAATTAACGAAATGAACGGAATGACTCGAAAAAAGATTCGTTCATTTTGCTGAACGAGACTCAAAGGTCCGAGTCGGTAAAATGATCCGAACTTCCCATCACTAGTACACAGACAGCACGGACGCGGACTACTTGTATTTATACTACCGAAAGCATACATACATGTCTGTTCCATACATTCACAGTAGATCGGCTTGAACAGTGAACAAACATGTGAACAAACAATTCCCCAGAGTTATTGCACATCTGGCTGTCTTTATATTTTATCGACGGATTGTACAGGTTCGAGTAGCAACGGGCTTCTTCACACAGCCTGCGCAGTAGCCTACTGATTGTCCGCGCGGTCACAAAAAATGGTACAGCCTCTGCGCACACTCTCCTATGACGATTTTTACGTCACGCATAACATAGCGGACCCTAGCGGACTCGCTAGTATAGTATATAGTATAGTAAAGTATAACATAGGCTTAAGACGGGGGTGTTGTGCTCAAATTTACGTGTGACAGTAAGAAGTCTACCAGCTGCATTTTGGTCTATGAATGATTATGGCATGACAAAGCATTTACAGATTTACTGACAGTTTCAATGGTGTAAAATTATCGGCATGAATGAACTGCATTCAAAGACATTTCATTCCAGTGGGCCCTGTAAAGCAAGGTGTTTTTTTTTTTATTGGTTCGTTTCTAAAAGCTGCAAGAACCAGGCAGCTGTTCTCTCTTAATCAAACAGTTAAAGAAGTCCCCTTGTGGCCTGATAGAGAACAGGAGGGATTTTGCTTCAGAGATTCAAAGCTCATGATCAGCAGCTCTAACATCTCTAGAGAAAACTCAGTTCACATCTAGAGACTGATTCTAGAAGAAACCACTGGAGGATGGATTTGAGTTTAGATTGTGTAAATGCAATAATAATATTTGAATGCATGAAAACATCACCATATACACATTCTTTCTACAAACTATACGTTTATTTCAAATGCAGTTGTCCTAAACAAGGTTTGTGAAAAGCTGGACATGTAGATTAGTTTCTACAGTTATACCTACTGTAAATGTCACGGTAAAGCACTGAAATGAGTAAGACATGAATTCATACCTTGATGTGGAGTAACTGCAGGTCTGTGAGCAGCTGTAGTCATCTCAGAGTTTGAGGTAATGATCTGTTTATCTGTAGAAGTTGGAGAATTTTAGTTCAGATGCATATTGTCGAAAACATTCAATAAACATTAATCTTAACTGCAGTCAACAGTCTGGGGTGCGTTTCCCAAAAGCATCGTTAATCAACTATGGTTGCAAGTTCCGTCGTTACCAACATAGTTCAACGATTCGGTGTTTCCCGAAACCATAGTTCAAACAAACATTCGCAAACTGCATGGCAAACTGGTATCGTTGGAACGACAGCTGTTCCAACCTGTGGTTAGAGGCATAGGTCGTTGTTAGTTTGGGGTGTGTTCTATTCAGAGTTATCGACCCTATGCCCTATTCCTTTCGAAGATTTCACCATCCACTTTGAGTGATTTGGAAGAGTTAAAGTTGTGGTGCTTAGATCTTACCTAATTCGCCTTTAAATATTTTTTTTTATTACAAATTCAGTTTGAAACTATATAGCAGCGTGGCCCTCGCGGTTATTCTCCCTAAGTGCCATAAGTGCCCTCTGAAAGCATTAATCATGCCAATTGGAACGCAGCCATCGCATCATCAGATAGTGAGTCAAGGGGGGTAAAATGTGTCCCTATGCAGGCATTTATATACACTGCCTTACTTCTGCGTTGCCTTCTGTGTCAGAGGACGTTACTCAGCACATGAGGAGGCCTCAGACGGAGGTGAATCAGGGGAAGAGAGCAATAGACCAGGACCCTTTGGTGATTTTGAAGGCCCAGGCTGGAGAAGGCCTGATGTTGAAGGGCCAGCTGGAGAGGGCCTGATGTTGAAGGGCCAGCTGGAGAGGGCCTGATGTTGGAGGGCCAGCTGGAGAGGGCCTGATGTTGGAGGCCTGAACTTTGAAGGCAAAGGCCTGGTTGATGCACATGCATCTATACCTCCAAGGATCCCTTCCAATGCTTCAGGCCCCAGGATGGCCAAAACTTTCTCTTCTCTGTAGTGAGAGGAGGAACTGAATTGATACCCCCAGCAGTCTTGTTTGCTTCCCTCTTACAGGGCGCAGCCCTCCGTTTTGTCACACTTGTGAAGTCTCCTCCACTTATTCCTGATTTCTTCTGGGCTTCATTCATACCCATAGCCAGCAGCATTTATTTTTTGATTTCTTCCCAGATTTTCTTTTTGTCAGCATTTGTAATGCTGTTTTTCAGCGTTGAAAAAAGCTGGATTTTATTATTTTCCACCTCCTCCAAAAGAACTGCAATTTCATGCTTTGAAAATTGTTTTTTTTGTGTCATTTTCATTAACACATGGCTGAATGGCAAGGGAACTTAAATAGGAAAAGTGATTTAGCAAAATAAGCAACAGGTGTCCACAACAGTACATCACAGTTTTTTTTTAAACCCATCTTTTTTCAATTCTGCTTATGTAGCCTATCAATATTAAATAAGAAATTGTATTTATATGAAATTGTGAAACTATAGACATTGGGATCAGAAAAGAGCACATTTTTAACTCTGTGTGTGTATATGCATATAATTTATTGCGGAACAAATTAATGTTGCGTTATTACTCCACTCCTACGTAACGTCATTTCAAAAGCATAATTCAAGTCGAAGAAAAGAGAAAATAAAACCAAATTACTGTAGGTGGCGGTATGTGCTCATGGCACCAGCCGGCTTTTAGACCGAAGAAGAAGAAGAACAACGTCATAATGACAGCTCAAACCAACGTGGTTTAAACGATGGATCTGCGACACAAGTACCATGGTTTTGGGAAACAGTCATGACTAGCTAGTTCGTTTCCACAACGATGCATCATACTATGGTGGTTAATCAGCGAGTTACGTAGTTGTACAGGAAACGCACCCCTGGTTAGCAAAAAGAGCCCTATATCCCCTCAGATGCTACAGACAACAGACTATACCATGATGCATATCTATCAGAGCCCTGCACTGAAGTGAGAGACTGCTGGTGTGTGAGAGTGATCATGAACCTTGTGTAGGAGCTGCTGCTGTAGTTCGGCCTGATGTCGTCTCAGAGTTTGAGCTGCTGACTGGAATCAGTGTTGTTGAATCTGGAGCTGCAGAAGATGAATGTTCAGATGCATCTTAAGACTGTAGAACATCACATTTTCATACTTGATCATTGCATGACATGCAAAGTTAATGAGCTTTTTCAAAGTTCGTGTTCCATCATCAGGTGAAGAAAAGAATAAAGAGTGGTGTTTCCATCAAGGCTAATTCTATCTATAAACAGCTGTTTAGGACCCTGAGCAACCAGCTTTTTACCAAAAGCTGCCCTAGTGAAATAATTGTATACTCTGTGCTTTTTAGTATAACTAAATGTATTTGAGGCACACTATACGTTGGTATACTTAATGTCTGTTAAATTGGAACAACTAATTTTGTACTAAATACATTTTAGTTGTCCAAAAGCAGTGCTGAAGTTCAACTAAAGTTGTATTAAATATAGTTGTTTGTGCTAAAGTGGAACTGTTCCAAGTATACTTAAGTACACTTTAAATATCCACTCTTGTATTTAAGTTTTGAAATGCAGAATTCACTCAGCATAAACTTCAAATGTATTTTGGTGACATTGCAATTACAATTCAGTTACACTGTAAGAGTGTTGAACATACATTAATATTATACTAACAAGGTCAAGCTATCCTTTACTTTTAGTGACTTGAAAACACATTGCAATATCATTCCAAGTAAACTTGAAGTGTGCTAATGGCATCATTATGCCATTATAACTGCGCCAACACACAGACATGCACCATTCAAATCTGGGCTTTCTTTGTTTTCTTTACATACTGTTACAAGTACTTGTCATGATCTGGTTCATGTTCCCCTGTCTTGTGTTTGGACTTTTGTGTTTCTTCCTGTCTAGAGTGCCATTTGTAGTCAACTTGTAGTCCTTTTGTTTTATTGATCGTCTTGATTCCTTTCCCAGGTGTGTCTTGTTACCTTGTTATCCTGTTTGCGTCTCTGTGTATAAATAGCCCAGTGTTTCAGTTAGTGTTTGTCAGTTGTTGTATGTCTGTGATGGTTGCTCCCTGCCTTTGTCTGAGTTCCTTGTTTACCCATATTGGATTACTTGTTGGTTCCTGAATTCTTATTAAACTCCTGCACATAGATCCTCACCTCTGTTTGCCTCATCTTGTCTCTGCAACGTTACAGAACAACTGACCAAGACTAACTGAAACACTGGGCTATTTATACACAGAGATGCATTAGATTAGATAGTAATACATGCGGTTCACATGGCTCTTCGGAGCAGCAGCAGTGCATATGTCTTGGCGATAGATCTGCTTTGTGGGGGATGTCTTGTCTTTCCTTGTCTGTTCATCTTCCTGTGCGTGGATACATGCATGTCCACTGATACAGCAGTTTATCCTTATATGGAAGGTCATGTACATTACCATGCCAATCCCTCCGAGAGTTGTCATGACAGAAATATAATTCATCCTTCCCCAGTTGCATTTGTAAAAGGTATACTATTTTACAAATTAATTTGTAGTGCACTGTTTGTGCTTGATGAAACATGAAATAACTACATTTACATTGTATTTTCAGTTAGTACATAGACATGTTAGTCTATTTTTAGTATACTTATCATTAAATAAATATATTTTAAATACGATTTAGTATATTTATTTTTCAATAGGGTGCAAGTAAGGCTCAGGCAGCTCTTATGGCACCATTAAACAGTTATAGGGTCCTTTTGTGGTAGGTTATGCAACCCATAAACCTACAGTTTGTCCTGAATTAATGACATTATCATTCCTCGTGCCATGTCTCTGTATCAGAGAGTCTTCTGAAATTGAGTTAGGAAAGTTTCTCACCTGAACTCTTGACAGTGTATGTGACTGAGGTCTTGACTTGATTTTTCTGAGTAACTTCACATCTCCACTCTCTGTTGTGATCTTCATTCAGGAGTGTTATAGTCAGAGTGATGATACAGTGTCCTGATGAGGATAATGCCTGACATCTGGAGTCTGATATCGTCAGTTTAACACCAGCCTGATTCACCCAGAACAGCTCAATTCCCTCAGAACCGACCGAATCATCACAAGAGACTCCAGCAGATGAATACAGCTGACAGAAGAGAGTCACAGAGCGGCCTGCACTGATCTCAGTCTGTGAGGATGAAGCTGAAACACAAAATAGCACACATCACAGACTCTTCAATCATCATGAGAGTTTAAATGAAGAATTTGTCATTTTTAAATTGACCACATAATTGTAAAATTACCATGAAGGACATGCAGATAAACACGAGCAGCAGTTCTCAGTTGTTGGTCTCTATTCACACCAGTCCATTGTCGGCAGGTGTAAAATCCATAATCTTCTTTTGAGATGTTGTTGATGTTCAGAGAGCAGTCAGACCCCAGACTCAGTCTCTCATGTCTCTCTGTGTCTTTCTTCTTTATCCCGTCATCAATCAGTTCAACAGTCGTTGAATCTTTATTATAATTCCATGTAGTTGATTTGCAGTCATGAAGAATATTATTACAGGACAGACGGACATTTTCACCAGAACTGATGAACATATGAGCATCATCCTCTCCACTGGAACCTGAAACACAAGAACATCTGAGTGATCATTATGTTATATATTAATAAATGATGCTTCATAAACAAACCCCTGTGACAGCAGGTCATTCTCAGTGTCAGATATCAGTGCATTCAGGAATAAAACAGTATTTGCAAATGTGACTCTGAGATCAGAACAACGTCAGGAAGAATCAACCATGTTCAAACTAACTCATTCCCAGACTCCATGCCAGACCAGCTCTAGTAAAACACTTGAATATATATTAATATAATAATGTGTTACCTGTGAGAAGTGAAGAGAGAATAGCCAGTCCCAGCAGAAACAAATGACACGTATCAGCCATTTTCTCTTTCTCTCAGTCTTTCCAGATCCTCAGCAGCTTCTGCAGTTGAGATGTTGAGACCGACACAAAATTCAACCAGCTAAAGGAAAGAAGCGGAAAGACTAAAAGAGTTAAATTCCATCAGTCTAATCTAGGTTCAGAAATGATCACAGTAACACATTTCCAAACCTCAACAGTGAGATCACAGCTCTGAAAATACTACAGGAAACATGTAATGTCACACTAGATGCAAGGCTTACTACCCAGAGCAAAAGATTCTGCAAAGAGAGTGAATACAACACACTGACTGACAAAGGGGAAGCAAAGGTGGTTTGGGAAAAATACAATCTTTTCTATATTGTCTTAAACAGAGTTTAGAAGGAAACAGTACATCTCTGCACTGAAATGATCAGAGAACACAAAAAAAATCAGATGTTCACACATGACATGTAATAATGCGATAATACCACAACCAATTCAATAATACTAAACATTATTCAAACTGTCAGTGGAAACTGACTGGATGGATTTACTCTCCCCTCCTCCTATATTAATCAGTAGGTGATCATAGTCTTAAATCTAGTGCATCTCTTCTGAGTTATTAATGTTAAAGGTGATGTGTGCTTTGGTGTCTGAGAGGTGAGTGATGGTCTGACACATGTCAGGAACACATTAACAGGGTTTAGTCATTTAGCCTTCAGCCGAGGATACTGGGATAGACGCCGGCCCTATGACCCTACAGAGGGTCCTGTAAGGATAAGAGAGTGAGAGAGAGACCCATTTAGCCCAGCATACAAATAAAAGTTATGAAGTTATGAAAAGAAAGTTATGAAATTTGGCACACATATAGAGGACAGGCTGAACATTAACCACACCAACTTTGGAGTCTCTTACGCAAACCCTCTAGCACCACCAACAGTTCAAAGTTGCACTCATATTTATGCTAATATCTTTTGAACTGTAAGGGCTAGAAACAAAATTCAGAAAATGTTTTAACCATTTTGATTTGGTTGACTTTTTCAACCATTGCTCTAATTTTCATTAAAATCAAATCAGATCATCTTCAGATCTTGAAATGGATCTTGAAACGGAATTCAAGTTAAATAGTCAAACCGTTCTCAAATAATGCGCAAACAAATTGGACAAAGAACATACTGAAATGGATGTGAGGCTGTATTTCCGCAATTCATTAGCATACTGAGACCAAACTTAGTTTTTGTTATGACAACCACCAGAGGGTAACTGCACAGTTTCGGCAGAGAGATATAAAATTCATATTTTTGCTGAATGGTTTGGCCAAAAATCAAGAGTCAAACGATACCCAATTTTCCAAATGGCTGTCTTTTTTGCAATCAACCATTTTGAATTTTGTTGTAAAATGATATGTTTTATGAACTTGTAGGTGTGATATGAAAGTCAGTATGTGTCATCGGCACCATGCCCTGAAGGGCTAATACGGTCTAATATTTTCCCCCTTGCTTTTGCCTATTGACATGACATTGGTCTTTTTTTCTTTTTCTTTTTTTCTGAAAACACAGAACACATTTCAATGGATGTCTGTCTTTAAACAAAAAAATATTTTCTGCTTAGACTACTGAAGGTCTCTTACTTCATGATCTGCCAGGGTTGGTTAACTGATATTTTTATTATTTTTTATTATAATGCTTTGATAAATAAGACTGAAGGCTAACAGACATTTATTGTACTGTAGACACATTGGGCCTTACTCATGAAACACAAGCAGAGAAAACGTTTGTGTAAATCGTTCATAAAGACGTTCTGACGTAAACTTTCAAATTCATGAAAATGTTCGTAGGCTATTTTCAAAATGTTAGTTGGTACATAAGAAATGTACACCTGATATTTATTGTTAGGCATATGGCCTATTAGTCTTTTTTGCATTTATGAAATATACTGGAGCCAAACCTGAGAAAGGAGTCCAGAATATTCCACTGCATTCCTGGACACGTAACTTACGTAGTTGTGATTCATAGGCGGGGATGCTAATTGTGAATGAGCGTGCACACGAGCCCCATTTACGAATGATTGGAATTCAATAATAATAACGCTGCATACGTTTAGGACTTTCGTAAACAGGGAGCCGATGTGTTTTTCACAGACATACACATATGGAAACAAAGTCGCCTTGAAGCTGTGCATCTTCCGAAGCTGAGCCGACTGAAATTAAATTTAGATTAAAATTAAAATGGATTAAATTTTAGAATTTCTTTAGATATGATTTAACACTATTTGCTTAAAGTTGTTTTGTTTTTGATGAGAAATAAAACCAAAAGCTGTTTGTGGTGCACCATTCATCAGTGTCTTTGCAAATCTACACGATCACTATAAACTGACAGACAGTGATTGACCTCCTTTAGTCTCGATACATAAAGACACGTTTGCATAGACGGGCGAACATAATCACCTGATTTTGTAAATGTGGCCAATTACATTTGCATTAAGCACCCAGTTTTCGCTTGTCTATAATTTTAATGAATAGCTTACATTTACAAAATGAGCCTACAATAGCAGAAATAAGCCTTTTTAATGAAAGTAAAGTCCATGCTTTACACGATTTCTGTGCACATGCACAAGAGCACATAGGGTTTGCTGTGTTCATCCTCCCGACACACTTGCCTTGAAAAGAGGTAAAACCATCAACATAAATGATAAACTGAAGCAGGATCTTTATGATAATCTGTTCATTTGTTTATCCAATCAATTCTGAGAGTCTTTGATCTAAAATCAGTGAATATGTATAACAAGAAGAGTATATAAACTGTGTATTTGACAAATAACTGTGAAGAAGAAGGAGATGTGAATCAAACCACTGTCTGTCTCGTTCTTTTTGTACTGGAAGAATTTTCCATGAGTTTAAAAAAATAATAATACAATGTCACAATAAATATACTTGTAAACATAATTATTTAATATTAAATGTGATCTATTCAGTGATCTACTGGAATTTCACAACCAAACATGTCTGTTGCAGCAACAATTTCAGAGTTAGCTGAGGTTAAACAGTTCATTGACTTCTTTAAACTTGTTCTCTGAGGAGTTTTTCAGGAAAATCTCTCAATCTTTGAATCTTCTCTCAGTGTCTGAAGATGACAGAGTGAAGGCTCGGAGAGCTCATTGTCTGATTGCAGCTTCAGCGGCTGGACTGTTACTGACTGAACACATAAAGAGCACACAGGAGTGACTCCGAGTCTGATATGACATTCACCTGCAGATATCACTGCAGTTATTTCTGTTACTTTAATCTGTTTTATTACATTCTCTCTGCAGGTATAAACATAAGCAGCAGTCGTCAGTTCTCTGTGGATAACAGTCTGGGTTTGTCTGATGATCTCGGTCTTCTGTTTGACAGTGGAGACTTCAGAGATGAATGTATGAGATCTCAGTGAAGAGGCAGAATTTGTGTTTTGTGTTCATCGTTTGATCCTCATGATTGATCCAGAGCTAAACATAAGAAACGAGTCCAGAAAGCTCAGTGTGGACGTCAGCCAGACGTGTGTCCTCGTGTCTCTGCTTTTCTCAGCTCACTTTCTGAAGTCACTTCACGTTGAACTAAAATCAGAATCAGGACAAAACTAAACCAAAAAGCTTCATTTTTTTAATCTTGCAATTAATTTATGCCAGGAGTTATGTAAATGAAAAACGAAGTCGAGATCGATATGAAGCTTGAGTCTTAGACCTTTTTTAATGATGTATAGTTTATGAAGTTATCTGCATTCCTTTACATTAAAACTAGCAGTAACTCTGAACTAATGTCTTTAACATTAAAACTAGCAGTAACTCTGAACTCATGTAAACAAAGAACGCTTCTGTGCGCTGGCGTCCTCCCACAGGTTAAGAGATTTTAAACAAACACTGTTAATACACATTTAGTTAACCAAATGAAACAATACACATTTTAATGCTATAAAAGTGTGCACATTGAGAGAAATAAACAGCAGATGTTCATGTTAACAAATTCTTTAACTTGAGCAAACGCTGTTAATACTCATATACATTTCTTAATAAAGTTAATAAAATGAAAACATGCATGTTTTAATGCGAGTGAATAAAAGGAAATGATCCACCCGCATGCCTCTGCTCAATGACGGTGCCTGGATCAGTGAGCTGCGTATCGGGCCGATGACGTCACTTCCAGGGAGGCGTGTCCAGGCCTGTTGTACACGCCCCCATTCCTTGACTCCACCCCCATGTCAAAACGGTGCCAGAAAGTGAGCCGCGCAGAAATGTGAAGCTCAAAGGGAAAAACGGTATCGCAAGCTCAAACTTGACTGAAACACAAAATAAAAGCAGCGTTGAAAATAAATTAGTAGATATGGTCATGGAAAATATGTATTGCAAAATCATTGCTTTTGCTCGGTTTCATTTATATTTTGAAATTCTTTATTTTTGTTTGCAAAACTTTCATTTTAGTTTGCAGTTCTTTATTTTTGCTTGCAAAACTTATTTTCTTCTTTCAATACTTCATTTTCTTTTGCAATTCATTTTTGTTTACAAAAAGCACATTTATTTTTTCTCAATACTTTAATTTTCATTTGCAAAACTTTATTTTCTTTTGCAAGTATATGTGGCCCTGTTTTGACTCCATAAATTCCATCCTTACAGAATAATTTGCAGAGGTCTGACTGCACATGTTGGAAGTCCAGCCAGAAGAGCGTAGCAATAGTCCAGCCTAGAAATGCCAAGGGTCTAGACGAGAAGCTGTGTTGCATGTTCTGCTGTGAAACTGTTTAGAAATCAGCCACGTTCACTTAACTGTGATAAAAGAAAACTGACTAATCTATCTATCTTTGAAAGTCAGACATATGGGGACATAACAACATACTGCACTGAAGCAATAGTGATGCAATGCAATCGATGAGCAAACGTCCATAACCTCTGAACTTTAATAAAAATAAAGTAATTACTATATTGACCCAATGGGGACAAAATGCAATTTCCCTGTTAATGAGACAGTTGTGGGTTTACCCTAACAGAGAATAGACCTGTGTGTACTTTCATCACTCAAACCTGCTTACTATACACAGGCATCTATTTATGGCCAAAATGTGAGATAACCAGTATGTACAGTCAACACTGTTCATGCTTCTACACAGCAATCAATCATCTTGTCTTATCAGGTTTCTGTGTCCGGGGGTGCGCAGAGCCATCAAAACATTGTGTACTTGTGTGTAGTTATGACTCTTTGAGAAAATGAGAAGAATGAAATAGGAATTAGGAAGTGGATGATCGCTGACAGTCAAATGACAGGTAAAAATGCTCTTGTGTGTGTCATGACTGAGTGCATCATGGTAATGTTCGAGATCATCTTTTGAATGAGCTATGATCATGTTAACAGAGCGGGGTCATTTTCAGTGATTAAAACCTTATTTAAACCTTACCTAATTGTATTCTGTTCTTTGCATAAATATATGGTATGGCTTGTACTTTTATTTGCCTGTTGCATGTTTTATATTGTTCAGAAGTGGTATAGGTTTAGGGTAGTGGTGGGGTTTGGTGCTCCAAAATATATATGAAAGCATAAATGTATATAAAACTATTTCTATTTTTACAAATTAATGCAATAAATCTTGATCTGACACATAAGGCATACAACTGAAGGCAATGGAGTACCCTGCATGTCAAAAAACTGACTCTAAAGGGGTAACCTGAGCATTAAAAAGTGACGCCAAGGTTTTCTGACCAACTCATCAATATGTGACGAGTTGGGAGTGAGAACGTGTTGGACTGCGGGAAGGGTAGAAAGGACATTTTGCTGCTTTACTCCAGGAGTTTTTAGTTCTTTTCATTTACTATGCTAATACATGTTAGGGAGCTAGCTAACATAATCTTGGTGATGTGACACAAAAATATATGAAACAGAGTGAATTAAACCTATTAGAGAATCATATAAAATCAACTTGAGTCACTTAAAAGTAACTTCATTCCATGATGGGAAAGATAATTGAACAAATGATGTTTGTGTAACGAATGAAAGGCAGTGGAGAAGGGTAAAGGTTTTACAATCTGTTGATCCTCTCTATATAGAGAGCAGTAAAATAGCATAAGATCTCATTTTTCTCTGAATATCTGGAGTGAATACAGCACTGTAAAGTGGAATGATGGTCGTGATAACAAATTGTGCTCATTAAGCTGTCATTAATCTTGGTTCATCGTGATATCACAATGCTCCATTATAATCAATGAAGCTCTCTACAGTACACTGTACTGCACTAATAGTTTCTGCATGCAAACAATGAGCAAATTTCCATAATCACTGACAGGGATGGGCAGTATTTCAGATACATGTATTTGCTATACAAAATACTATTTTGTATATTAAAGCCTTTGGAAAAAAATCAAATGTATTTTTTATTTAAATACACTACCAGTCAAAAGTTTTTGAACAGTAAGATTTTTAATGTTTTTTAAAGAATTCTCTTCTGCTCACCAAGCCTGTATTTATTTGATCCACAGTACAGCAAAAGCAGTAATATTGTGAAATATTTGTACTATTTAAAATAACGACTTTCTATTTGAATATATTTTAAAATGTAATTTATTAGCATCTTCTGTGCATTTGAAGCCTAGTCTTACTTAGCCAGACCTTCAGACTAATGGCAGAAGGTCTGGGAACCAAGAGGCCATGTCACTGACAGGTAAAGCAACTAATCATGTTTCGTTTTGAACTGTGTCATGTCTAGGGGTGTGGAAATATCCCCACAAAAACAGACCGGTGTGTAAAGCTCTTGTACATATTTTAAAGAGTCTATGACACAAACTTTAAATATTTCACATGCTTTTGAAAATCCAGCGTTTAGTTGAGCCCGATAAGGCTCATTGTCACAGTTGTAAACACGACTGCTTTCTTCTAACATGAGGGGGTTTGGCGTCACGGAATATTTGTTTCCAGGCGGAACGTTAAAGAATGCGACACAAACGTCTCCCGGAAATCCTGTATAATTCAACCAATCAGATGACGACTTCAAAGTTCCTGAAATGTTTCTAATTTTGTATGCCACTTGCATCTGACCATATTTATGTATATAGCTACATATCTATGCATCAGACATTCAGCCAACGGTCCGTGGGCTTGACATCTGAGGCTGAGACTATTTGAAGCCTTGTTACTCTCGCCTGTCTTTGCCTTTTGAGATTAGAACAAAACATATGAATATGATAACATATGTATAACACTTGAACAATAATCTCTTATATTTGTATTCATTAAACATTTTCGGTAACACTTTAGAATAAGGTTCCATTAGTTAATGTTAGTTAATGTATTAACTAACATGAACAATACAGTTATTACAGTATGTATTCATCTTTGTTAATGTTAGTTAAAAAAATACAGTCGTTCATAGTTAGTTCATGTTAAAGGGATAGTTCACCCATAAAAATTAGCCTGTGTTTTACTCACAATCAAGGCATCCTAGGCGTGTCTGCCATTCATCTTTCAGATGAACACATTCCAAGACAAGATTGCCGGCCGCTCTGAAGTCAAGCACGCTGGCTGCGGCTCTCTCCAGCCCACCGGCTGCCCAATTCACCTCTAACCAAAAGAGGAGGATGAGGAGAAAGGGACTGTTCTCCGCCCTCATCCCAGCCCCAGAGCTCGCTCCAGTGTCGGCTCCAGCCCCTGAGTTGGCTCCAGTGCCAGCTCCTCGAAAGCGTCTTGCTGTGCCTGCTCCTCCAGAGCACCCCCCAGTGCCAGCTCCTCGTAAGCGCTTCCCAGTTCCCGAGTATAGCCCACGGAGGGCTCCTGTCCCCGAGTTTAGCCCACAGAGGGCTCTTGTCCCCGAGTTTAGCCCAGTGAGGGCTCCTGATTCCTCGTTTAGCCCCGGAAGGGCTCCTGACCCCCAGGCTGGGGCCACGGCCTCGGAGGCATCCGCCCTGGAGGCCTCCCGTGTCTCCGTCTTGGACCAGCCTCCAGGGCGCCCACCCCCCCTCCCCGGTGGATATGTTACAGCGCGGGACGCGCCTTCCGAGAGGGGGAGGTAATGTCAGGGAGTCTTTGTCACCAGTCACCAGCTCTGAACTCCATACCCCAGAATCCTCCCCAGCTCACACCTGTTTACAGTCACGATCAGCATCACCTGGAGTGATCTGATCACCTGAACCTGCCGTCTTCAATCAAGCCACCTTCAAAAGCACACTCCTTCCAGTCACGCACCGTCCGGTCTACCTTTCACCCTGGCGAACTATTCCAGACCCTTACCTGTTACTCACCTGTTGTTTGTACTTTTACCTCTAGTGTCTCCAGTGGTCCAGCGATCCTGTCCCTCGTCGACCTCATTCGTTCCCCGGACTCCTGCAAAGGATCAATCAAACCATTACCCAGAGCTAAGAACCCAAGAACTATCATTATCATCTGACTTACCTGCCATCTGTCTTCTTCCCCTGCTGTTGTCAATAAACTATCCTGTTTGCACTCTTACCTCGTGTCTCTGCCTTGAACTGTGACAATGAGAAAGATTGAAATGAAGATTGAAACAATTAGAAGTATTCTGTTCTGCTGCTGAGAGGTGGGCCAGGTGTGACTCTGGGTCACAGGATCCTAACAAACCAAAATGTCTTTTATGTTTTTACAACCGATTTGAAGATTTGTTTGTTCTGGTCTGGGTATAAGCAAAGTGGCATTATAGTCATTTGGGATTCTGTAACCAGAAAACCACCACAGTGTGTGTGTGAGAGAGTCTCTGGAGCTCTGCACTAGAACTCTCACATGCTGCTGTGTGTCTCTCTGCTGTCAGGTGTGCATCTCTCACTCTTAGATTCATCTTTGAGCAATTGATGTTATGTATTTATACGAATTGGAACTGAATCTAATTCTGAATTGGATTCTCATTGTTTAATTATGTAATTGGCATGATACATTTTTACCTGACAAATAAAATGTTATATTTGAGTTATTCTGATGTATTCTGAAATCATTATGACTAGTAGATCATGTGGAGGTTGACAATTTAAGCTGATTTTATATTGTATCGCTTAAATAGATCAGTTTTGTTTTTATTTTCTTCTAGTCTTGATGTGTTTGCTGTGTAAAAGGATCTTCAGGTGAGACTGATCTCAGTTCAGTCATTAAATCTCAAGAGCTCATGTCATCAATCACATTTACCTTCATTTCAGCTCCAGTCGTCAGATTGCAGGAATTACTAAATGCGTATTAATAAAGGTGCTGACAATGCCTGAGAGAACACAGACCTTTGTCACATCTCCATTTCTCTTGTTTATTCTTTTACTCTGATCTGTTTCATACCTCTTCGCGTCTCCAAACACTGACAATCAGCATGATAAACATACGAACAAAGAAGATTTGATAATGACAGACACTGAAGAAATTATGTGAGCTTCAAACACTCACCAACAATAAAGAGCAATAAATATAACACATTTAAGTTTTTGTTTATTATTAATATTTGTTTATTATGATTGTTCTTTTGTATTTTATCCAAGGTTTTATATCATTATATTTTAACATTTCAATGCAAGTTCATTTTGAATACAATTAGTTAAAAAATGTACCTGAACAAATCCTGACGTTCTTGTCTGACCTGTTTAAACACACCCAAAGGTGACCAGAAACACCTCTCACAACACTTACCAGAAAGAGACTGACGTCTTATTTTTCCTTTCTGTTGTACTGATTTCTCTACTGACAAAAGCAAAAAAGAATCAGCGATCAATGAAGAACGAAGAAAAATGCTTTAAATAAGAATTTTGGAGAAGTTTGTTGGTGACGACAGATCTTTGTGATTTTTGTTATTATTCATTTTTGAAACCATCGTTCAGAAAGTGAAAGTTCAGACTGTCAGAGCTTAGATAGAAAATGGCTTCACTATATGAAGATGATATTTCTTGTCCCGTGTGTCATGAAATCTTCAAGGCTCCTGTTCTTTTATCATGTAGTCACAGTTTCTGTAAAGAGTGTCTTCAACAGTTCTGGAGAATCAAGGAAACTCAGGAGTGTCCTGTCTGCAGAAGAATATCTTCTCATGCTGATCCTCCATGTAATCTTGTGTTAAAGAACTTGTGTGAGTCGTTCCGGAAGGAGAGAAATGAGAGGAGTTCATCAGGATCTGAGGAGATCTGCAGTTTACACAGTGAGAAACTCAAACTCTTCTGTCTGGAGGACAAACAGCCGGTGTGTGTAGAGTGCTTTATTTCACAGAAACACGTCAATCACACAGTCAGGCCCATCAGTGAAGTTGTTCCATCATATAAGGTAAGACAAATGACTTTTCAAGTTGGGAAACAAATTTCGAGTTGTCTGGAACGCAGCATTAGTAACTACAGGGGCAAATACATTTTCATGCAGGCCCAGTTGGTATTGGATAACTTGTTTGCTTTAATAAATAACATTGTCATTCACAAGCTGTGCTTTATCTTTGCTCAGGTTGCCTTTTGTTCCATGGCAGGTTTTAATTTCTGAATCAATTTAGCATGAGGTGTACACAAAAACAGAAGAAAATCAGGATGGGGCAAATACTTTTGCACTGCATTATATGATCTAGGGATGCACAATATATTGGCCACCAGATTGGTATCAGCCGATAAATGTTAATTTTTCTGTTATCATATCGAACCGATAAGAGAATTTGGCCGATATCTTAAAGCCGACTGTAACAAAGTTCGTAGATCGGGAAGAAGGAGGTGGGAACCGGTGAACATTTAAACGTAAAACTTTAATAAATAAATAAACACAAAACAAAAGTAAAAGCGGCAGCCCCTCACGGACGACTGCCACATAAAACAACAACATAAAATCCAGGCCTGGTCCTCTCTCGTCATTCACTGTCGACACGCCTCCTTTTATCCTTCTGGAGCTCCTCCGTGGGACTCGAGACCGGTGAGTGGCGCAGGTATCGCTCATTATCATTACTCCACTGGCCTCACTCCGCTCCCATGGCTCTCGGCCCAGCCCCACTCGTCACACCGATAAATAATGCATTATTTCCTGCAGAGACACTTCCGATGCGCACTGTTCACCATGATGGTTTTTAATTGCTTGAAATATTATTGGAATCACTTCGAAAAGGAAAATACAGTGAACTGCATCATGTGCAGGGCATGTCCGTCATATTATGAGATCATTAGCTACTGTAAAATAATGCTATGGAATCTATGTTCGCCCGTGTTTCAGCGCGTTCTTGCGTGAAGAGCGCATCCACAACGGAGCTACACCTTCATGACTAGCTTGTGCATTTACAGCCTTTTGTGCAATTGTACGTTGTAATATTGTGTTTATTTTATGCATATAAATCTGATTTATCTCATATAGAATGCGTTTGGTTAAGCTAATAGAGGGTTAACAGAGCGCTTCAGTTTGCCGGTGATCATCTTTAGCTCAGCGCACGCAGCTCAAACAGCAGCACACAACATTAATAACTATGATTAAGATTGTCATATATATAACATTATATTGAGAACACTATTATAATAAAATGTTATGAATTCTTTCGGTTTGATTTCCGTGTTTCAGCGCGTTGTTGTGGGAAGAGCCAAGAGCGCATCCACAACAGAAGTTACACATTCTGATTAGCACGTTTAACTTAGTTTGAGTTCCCTTGTGCATTAGCGTCTTTTTGTACATATAAGTAGTAATATTACATTTATGTTGTGTAAATATCAGATTATATCTGAATATGTGATGCGTTTCCTTGAGTTAAGCTGGCAGCACTTCAGTTTACCGGTGTTCATTCAGCTGTTCAGCTTCAGCACACCCAGCTTGAACAGCAATGCCCAACATTAATAACTATGATTGGGAATGTCATTTACATAACATTATAAAGAGAATATTACCGTAATAAAAAAGTTGTGAATTATTTGGGTTTATTTGCCATGTTTCAGCGTGTTATGGGAAGAGCCAAGAGCGCATCCATACAGTATATATATACAGTATATATATATACAGTATATATATATATA